CTGGGGGCTGCATCCATCCCCCCTCCAGGCCTGAGGTTCCCCACTTCCGCCTTAAAAGGCCAGTGCAAGGCACACGCCCCATCACACAGTCCTGTTGTTTGCAGGTGTTTTCATGTATCCTCTTGGGGTGGAAAGGCAGATAGTAAAGTCAGCTGAAAACAATCCATTCCTTGTTTCCCTTGCCTTATATAGAATTTCCCTAGGGCAGGGAGCCTTTGTTGGGCCCGTTGGGGGATGGACCCCTCCTGCAGGTGCCAGGTTCCACCCTCAGTAGTCTCCCCCTCTGGAGGGTGCTCAGCCCCTCCTGAGCACAGCATTGGGGGAGGGAGGTGTGAATGTGATCCCTCCTGCATTCCCCCTCCCCGTGTCACCTATGCCGCCACAGGCTGTAACCACACCTCTTGCCTTACCCCGCATCCTGGCTAAAGGAAGGGTTGGCCACCAATTCATGCTGCATTGAACAGAAAGGACCAGTCTCATGCACGTCTCCTTTATTCCAGGGAAAAGAGGATGGGTCAAAGACTGTTCTACAAGGCGCACTTTGCATGTGATGGGCTGCACCGTGGTTCTGTGCTTCAGTCTTGGCTACTTTTGGTAAGTAGATTGCTTTGGTAAGCAAGAGTCTCCATTGCTCCCCTCCTGAGGTAGCTATTGCCTAAATTCCCTGCAATCTGTGCGGACCAGCCGGTTTAGCACCACACAGGTGCTCAGGGAATCTGCCTGTGGATCTGCCACATTTGGGGAAAGGTTGACTGAAACCCCGACCTGGACTTGCCATGGACAGGCACCCCTCTCCCACTCCAGCTCTGCTATGGCCTGGACCTGCCATGACACCTCGAGCTACTGTGGAGCCCAGACCCACTGCAGTGCCCCTTCCCCAGCTTCCACCCGGCCCTAGCCTAGACTTGCCGGGTCCTGGGCCCAGGTGCCTATTTTGTGGCCTCAGCCCCAGAGCTGCTTTGGCTGAGAAAGGTGTCTCTTCTCCCCCCACAAGCCAAGTGTTGTCCCGGGGTGAGAAAGATCTGGGGGAATCCTCTCCTTGCAGTAGCCGCACCTACACCCCAAATCTCTGCACCCCAACCTTGTGCCCTAGCCTGAGCCCCTCATCCCTGGCCCTACCCCAGAGCCTGCAGCCCAACCCTCTGCTCACTCTGACCTCCCTCCCATATGCTGAGCCCCTTGTCCCAACCCCCACCACATGAATTTTGTTATGTGTCACACATCATCTCCATATTGCTGCACATGACAATTCATTCTGCACATGGGTGGGAAAAAGTAGCAGGGGCGCTGAATATCTACAGAAACTCAAATCAGTGGTGCAAAATCCCAGTTCTTAGAGGTACAATAGATTCCCCAGCATTGTGTTGGTCTAGCTGGGCAGAAAAATGAGCGAGAGAGCAGACCCTTCTGTCACAACCTGTGCAACCCAAGTGACATGAGCGGGGCTGTCACAGAATGGCTAACTGCACCCTTTAGCTCAAAGTGCAGAAATCATTAACTCTTAAAATCACTGCCCCCCTCCCTGTGAGCATCCTACAGCATCTATCTAGTTGCACAGCACATTTGCTACTTCAAAAACATGGCGGTTTAGACGGAAGCTTTCCCACTGTTCCTGAAGGTTCCATCGGTTTGTCTCGTGCCAAGAATTGAGCTGCTGCCCCTGCCGCTGAGCTTCTGCTCCTGTCACTGCAATAGAGACCAAAGGGGGAAGGGAACCGCTCAGGGAGAGCGATCCTTCTGCACCTGGGCTGGGAAAGCAGCAGGGATCCAGCCTGGCTCTGGTTGCTGACCACATAGAATCCATGGGGCATGTCTACACAGCAGGGCTAAAGTCAATTTAAGCTGTGCAACTTCAGTTACGTCAATTGTATAGCTTAAGTCAAAATAGCTTCACTCGGCTTTAAGGTGCTGTCTACACAGCAGGAAATCGAATTAAGCCATGCAACTTCAGCTGTGTCATTCTTTTTTTGTGACAGTACTGCCCACTATGCAGTACCGGCACCTCCAATCAGAGCTTACCTGGAAAGAATGGAGTGTACTGACACCTCTGTAATGAAAATGGCCGAACGCCGGCTAAGCCACGTGTCTTAATGGGACCATGGGTCTTAAAAGGGCAAAACCGGGGGGTTGGTTTTTTTTTTGCTCAACAACTGGAGTACTGCCCCCCCCCCCTTTTTTTTAACAAAAAGGCACAGCAGCTACGTCAGTTGTATAGCTTAAGTCAATATAGATTAACTGGGCTTTTAGGTGCAGTCTACGCAGCAGGAAGTCGAAGGAAGAACACTATTCCTTCGACCTCCTTACTCCTCGTAAAATGAGGGTTACAGGAGTTGGAGTAAGAAGTCGTCCAGCTCGACATTATTCTGAAACAAAGGCTTGTAGTGTAGACGCACTCTTTGTTATTCCGGAATAATGCCAGTTATTCCAAAATAATGCTGCTGTGTAGACATTCCCATGTAGCTTGTTTGGCAGGGAGGCTGGCCTCATGGATAGGGACAAAGGCAAAGAGATGCCATAGCTTTATTTTAGTAATGCTTTTGACACTGTCACAGTCTCATCACTAAAATAGGTAAACGTGGTCTAGATAAAACCCTTACAAGGTACACCCAAAACTGATTAAAAGACTCTAAACAGTAGATATCAATAGGTGGCTGTCAAATTGGGAGGGTGTGTCTAATGGGGTCCCACAGCAGTCTGTCCTGGGTCCAATACTCTTCATTCTTTTTATTAATGATTTGGATAATGGCGTATGGTTATAAAATCAATGGATGACACCAAGATGGGAGGGGATGGTAGCTCTTCTGGGGTTTGGATTAGAATTCAAAACAACCTGGACATATTGGAGAACTAGTCTGAATACAATGAAATTCAATAAAGACAAGGACAAAATTCTGCACTTAGCAAGAAAAAAATCAAATGCCCAACTACAAAATGGGGAATAATTGGGTAGGTAGTAGTACTGCTAAAAAGGATGGGAGGTTACCGCAGATTACACATTCAATATGAATCAACAATGTGGTTTTCCATGTTGGTTCCAGGATATCAGACACCAACTGATCAGAGAGACAAGGAGGTGATGCAATCTCTTTTATTGAGCCAAATTCTGTTGTTGCAAGGGACAAGCTTTTGAGCTTCACAGAAGCTCCTCTTTAGGTCTGGGGCAAGTATTTGAACTAAATACAAGTTGGGAGAGGTTGTTGCACATGCTGTGGGAGACTACCTAAAATTAAACAAAAAACAGGACTATGTAGCATTTTAAAGACTAACAAGATGGTTTATTAGGTAATGAACTTTCGTTGGCCAGACCCACTTCCTCAGATCAATTAGTGGCTACATTTCTATCACTATCTAAAATTAAGTGAGCAATTAAGGGTCAGCTGGCAGGACTAATTCTTACAATGAGCCATAAAGCCGAAATCCATGGTTTTCAGTATCTGGCAGAATTATGGATTTACTTTCCCAAGCCTGCATAACCGATTTTTCAAATTGGGTCTAAACCGAAGGAAAAAAGTCAGTTGGTTTCAAATTGAAACTGATTTCTTTCCCCTGGCAAAATACAGTAAAAGAAACTTTTTGGGTCAAACAAAACATTTTGTTTTCAGTTTCGGGTTACCTTGGGAATATTTTTCATCTTTTTAATTTTTTTAAATAAAAATGAGTGAAATTTAAAAACAAAGGAGCTTTTGAAGCACAAAAGTTGAAGCCTTATCACGTAACACAGAGACAAAAAGAAATACTGTTGAGCGTGAGGTCTTCACAAGCTTGGTAAGTAAACACTACATCTGTTTTGCCATATAACACTTTTTGATTATCTTTTAATGACTCTAGTTTTGGCATTCCAATGATGATGTAGGATGTAAGCTCTTTATTGCAGAGATCATGATATATCATTGAGTGCACTCCCATTACATGACAGATAATAATATGAAACTGCTTTTGTTCATCGACCACAGCATTCTAGCAACCTTTGGTTTGTCTGGTTTGTTTTGTTCCATTGTGAGTCTAAATTGCTGGGTTTGTTTCTTTGTTGTACAGTTTGCATCTTTAAACATGCCTAGAGATTGGACTAGGTGTAAAGCCTTTATGTTATTTAGATCTCCATGTTTGACATGACATTTGGATTTAATGTGCAGGAGTATGTCCAATTATACCTGGCAGGAAACACCAGTCAAGATCTTCAACACAGTGAGGTAACTATCCCCTGTTGGACTTTCCTGGATTTTGTGAGCCCTTGAAGTCTCACAGTTAGAGCTCTGGAATCAATTCCCCTTTGCTGAGATTCCTAACCATTATCTTTTAGCTTTGATAAATGCAAAGTAATGCACATTGGAAAAAATAATCCCAACTACGCATACAAAATAATGGGAAATAATTTAGCTATCACCACTCAAGAGAAAGATCTTGGAGTCATTGTGGACAGTTCTCTGAAAACATCCACTCAGTGTGTAGCAGCAGTCAAAAAAGCAAACAGAATGTTAGGAATCATTTAAAAAGGGATAGAGAATAAGACAGAAAATATCTTATTTCCTCTGTATAAAACCATGATCTACCTGTGGAATGTGGTGAAGACCAGGATTTTGACAGGGTCCAAAAATGACGTGGCTAAATTCATGGAGAGTAGGTCCATCAATACTTATTTGCCAGGATGTGCAGGAATGATGTTCCTAGCTAGCCTCTGTTTGCCTGAAGCTGGGAATGGATGACAGGAGAGGGATCGCTTGATGATTTCCTGTTCTGTTCATTCTCTCTGGGGCATCTGGCATTGGCCACTGTCGTAGGCCAGGATATTGGGCTAGATGAACTTTGGTCTGATGCAGTACGGCCATTCCTATGTTCTTAAAACTTATTTGGGGTTTGCTGCCACGTTTCAAATGAAAACTCAATTTAAACTAGCAGTGACCCCTCAGAGGTAGGCAGAGAGGGACAGCACGGATCTAGTGATTATCTTCTTCAGAATTAGATACATTAAGAGAGCAGGTCTGCAGCTGGTATGAATCAGTGATCTGCTCAAAAGAGCTATGCCCAAGTAGGCTGGGGGGGAGTGTCCTTTTCCTCTGAGGTTCTTAAGTCCAGTCATCCAAACCCTTTCACATGCCTGACCCTCTCTGCACCCCACTCACAGTTGCTTGTCAGTGTTGCTTGGCCAGTGCAGAGCTAAAGTGCAGCTGTAACCACCACCAGGTAGATTTGAACCTGGGCTTTCTGGAGCTGAGTATAGGAGCCTCTACCCTCTGAGCAAAAAGCCAGCTGGCTCCCAGCCCAGGCTGTAGAGGTCTCTTGGTCTTAACTGTTACTGTGGTCTAGGTACCACTTGCATTGCTCAGTAACCTCACTAGGGGCTGTGTCTACTCACTAGGGGCTGTGTGGCTACTCTTGCACAAAAACTTGCTGCCTGTCTACACTGGCCGCGTGTTCTTGCACAAGTAAACTGACATTCTAATGTATAAAATCAGGGCTTCTTGCGTGAGAACTCTGATTATCCCACTCAGGAATAAGCCCTCGTGCGCAAGAGCTCTTAGGAAGAGGCCAGTATAGACAGGCAACATGAATTTCTTGCACAAGAAAGCCCTATGGTTAAAATGACCATCAGAGCTTTCTTGCGCAAGGGAGCGTCTACCCTGGCATGGATGCTCTTGTGCAACAGCACATTTTTTGCACAAAAGCACATGCTAGTGTAGATGCTCTCTTCTGGAAGAGCTTTTGCAGAAGTACTCTTCCGCAAAAGAGTTTTTGCGTGAGAACGCACCAGTGTAGACATAGCCTTTGGGCTGTGTCTATATTGGCGCGATCTTGCACCAAAGCAGACGCTTTTGTGCAAAAACTTGCTGCCTGTCTACACTGGCCACGTGTTCTTGTGCAAGTAAACTGACGTTCTACTGTATGAAAGCAGGGCTTCTTGCGCAATCACTATGATGCTCCCACTCAGGAATAAGCCCTTTTGCACAACTGTTCTTGCGCAAGAGGCCAGTGTAGAGAGGCAACATGAATTTCTTGCGCAAGAAAGCCCTATGGTTAAAATGACCATCAGAGCTTTCTTGCGCAAGAGAGTGTCTATACTGACATGGATGCTCTCGCGCAAAAGCACATCTCTTGCGCTAAAGTATATGCCAGTGTAGGCGCTCTCTTGCACAGCTATTTTAACGCTCTCTTGCACAACTACTTTCTCTAAAGAGTTTTGTGCAAAATCATGCCAGTGTAGATATAGCCTTGGTGTGTGGGTTACACAGCTACGGAGTTCACTTTCCACCCTACGTGGAGTAGGGTGTAAAAAGGCACCTTATTGTTCCTGCTGCTTGGGCACTCACTCACTGTCCCTCTCTGCTACTTGTTTGCCACTCGTTTGCCAACCGACTATCAGTCACCTTCTGCTACCACCTGCCTCTCTGCTGTGACCTCTGCACATTAGTCTCTTCGTAACTTTCATCTCTGTGCAGGCTGGGCAGAAACACTGCCCCATCTCATGTAGTTTCAGCTGTCAGTGATTTTTATCTCTTAGCAGGCAGGGCAGAATCAGTCCTCCCACAAAGGATTTCAGCTCTGGGTGAGGACTTCAAATAACAAGGCAGCGGTGACAGGGCTTTCATAAACTTTCTGAACACATGATTATAGAATCAATGTGTCACAACTGAGATAAGCTTTATACAAGTTGCCTTAGGTAACATGGTTGGAAAGACTGTCATCAGCTGAATAAGATTATCCCATGTATATGCATGTATCATTTGTGTAGATCAAGTGAGGATTACTAAATGAGGTCTCTAATGGCATATTTATGGGTTTGCGTCACTCCCACCAATTGGTAGGTATCAGTGAGTGGTGGGAATCTGTATCTGTAAACTGTCCAAGGCTTTTTGAAGAGCTATGAAAATCGTTCCTTGAAATAATTTTTGTTTTCCTGTGTTCCTTTTAGAAAGATTTACTCAAAGCCACAGATTCTAAGGCCACCGTAAGTAAAATTAAAAATAGGTGTTTTTGTTACCTCTAAGATGTCACTAAAGTTAACAAACGAAAATCAGAGCAAAATGCAAAAGGAAGTTTCTGAATTTATAACCAGGCCTGACTGGGACCCTGAGACATAGGCGCTGACTTTCCCTTTAGCTGGGGGGGCTTGACACCCTCTCCTCCGCCCTTGTCCTTGCCTTGCCTTTTCGTGCCCCTGCTCTGCCCCTGCCACCACGTACATTCCACCATGGTCCCCAAGTCCTCTGCTCTGCCACCTCCTCTGAGCATGCTGTGTCTCTGCTCCTGCCCCTGCACCCCAGAGCATCCCAAATGCTGCAGAACAGCTCTTTGTGGGGGGTGAGAGATACTATGTGGGAGGAGGAGGAGTTGGTTAGCAGGCCTGCCAGGGGGCAAGAGGCACTGGGGAGGCACTGGGGAGGCTGCTCGTGGCTGATGAGCATTGCTAATTTTTCCCAGTGGGAGCTCTACCTCGAGAACATTCATGGAGTCGGTGCCTGTGCATCGAGAGGTCATCTAGTCTGGTTCCCTGCACTCGTGGCAGGACTCACAAGGGTGTGTCTACACTGGCAGATGTACAGCGCTGGCAGTTACAGCTCTGCTCACAGAGCACTGCAGGGAACCTCTGTTGTGCTCCTTGTGATGGTGGAGCGCACCTGCATTAGCAGCTCTTGCAACAGCCCAGGGAGCAGTGCGTTGTGGCAGCTATCCCACTGTACAACTAGACACAGGGTGCTTTGGGAAGGGTTTGCAATGCCGCATGGAGCAGGCAGTTTCACATGATGCTGGTTTCCCAATCCCACTGTTCTATGGTCATCCTACTATACCCACAGCTGCTTTTCAGCTGAGGTGGGGAGGGGTCAGGAGGAGAGTGTGTGACTGGGGGTATCATTACCTTCATTAATCAGTGAGGATTACTACAGGGGATCTCTGTAATGGCATACTCCCTGATTTGGGTCACTCCCACTGTTTCAAGGCTGTGATGGCCCATTAGCAAGAGACAATGAAGTTGAACCTTCCTGCAGAGGTTTGGGTCAGCCCATGAGATATGGAGACAAGGGCCTTCCAGAGACATGATCCCTATCACCTGATACTGGAATCTATATTAAAATCTGCACTTTTGCACAGTAAGAGGGGAGGAGAGCAAACTGAAACAAAGGACTCTTGCTTATACTAATCCAATTTAAGGGTGGAGAATGAGTCAGTTCTCCTGGCTACCCCACCCAAGGTGACTGCTGTTAACAACTAAGACTTAAGTAGCAGAAGGAACTGACCTTAGCTTAGAAGGATGTCTGATCTCTGAAGATGATTATAAGAACAACTTGTAGGGTGAAATATTAATTAATAATTAATTTATTTAGTGTATTAAGCTTACTTTGTTTTGTTTTATTTTCTTTGTAACCTAATTTGTTCTCTGTGCTAACTCTTATGATCTCTTACATCCTTCCTACCTTTTATACTTAATGAAATCACTTTTGTGTATTGATAAACCCAGAGTAAATAATTGTTACCTGTGTGGGGCAAGGAGTCTGTGCATCTCTCTCTTTATATTGAGAAAAAGGACAAATTTACAATTTCTGTATTCCATACAGAAGGAGACAGATTTATTTGAGGTTCAGCTCCCAGAGATGCTGTGTGCTAGAGTACTGGGAAAAGGTCCTACAGCAGTGGTCTCTACCCTTTTTAAGCACAAGATCACTTTTTGAATTTAAGTGCAATGTAAGATCTACCTCAAACCCAAATACCCTGGCCTCGCCTCCTTCGTCCCCCTTCTTCGAGGCCCCAGCTCACTCCATCCTCCCTCCCTACTCCATCCTTCCTTCCTTTCACCAGGCAGGGGCAGAGGGTTGGGGCACAGGCTCTGGTCTTGGGCTAAGGTTGCTCTGGTGGCCACTCTGGGCCAAACCAAGGAAACTCTTCTGCCCCCCTCCCGGCCCTGGAGCCCTTAAAAGGCCACGGTCTGGCTACAGTACTTGTGCCAGTTGCAAGCCTGCCAGCACCCAGCCAACAGACCTTGCACCTGGCACAAGATGAGCCAGCCACCTGCTGCCACCCAGCCCTCCGCCTCTTCCCA